TGTATCTTTGAAATCATGTTTAACAAATTTTTTGTCATGTTTTATTGATTCACACAAATTGCTTTGTAAGTTTGAGCAATTTCTGTGAAGTTCTGGCATATTTGAAGTCGAAAATGTTAAATAGTAGCTACTTTTGCACTAGGTTGCTTCATAAATTCACTGTTTATTTGAAATCATGTTAAACAAATTTTTTGTTATGTTAATTCACCCAAATTGCTTTGTCAGTTTGAGCAATTTCTGTAAAGTTCTGGCATATTTGAAGTCGTAAATGTTAAAAAGAAGCTACTTTTGCACTAGGTTGCTTCATAAATTCGCTGTATCTTTGAAATCATGTTTAACAAATTTTTTGTCATGTTAATTCACCCAAATTGCTTTGTCAGTTTGAGCAATTTCTGTGAAGTTCTGGCATATTTGAAGTCGTAAATGTTAAAAAGAAGCTACTTTTGCACTAGGTTGCTTCATAAATTCACTGTATCTTTGAAATAATGTTATATAAATTTTTTGTCATGTTTTATTGATTTAAGATCATTTGCACAAATTGCTTTGTCAGTTTGAGCAATTTCTGTAAAGTTCTGGCATATTTGAAGTCGTAAATGTTAAAAAGAAGCTACTTTTGCACTAGGTTGCTTCATAAATTCACTGTATCTTTGAAATCATGTTTAACAAATTTTTTGTCATGTTAATTCACCCAAATTGCTTTGTCAGTTTGAGCAATTTCTGTAAAGTTCTGGCATATTTGAAGTCGTAAATGTTAAAAAGAAGCTACTTTTGCACTAGGTTGCTTCATAAATTCGCTGTATCTTTGAAATCATGTTTAACAAATTTTTTGTCATGTTTTATTGATTCACACAAATTGCTTTGTCAGTTTGAGCAATTTCTGTGCAGTTCTGGCATATTTGAAGTCGAAAATGTTAAATAGTAGCTACTTTTGCGCTAGGTTGCTTCATAAATTCACTGTATCTTTGAAATAATGTTATATAAATTTTTTGTCATGTTTTATTAATTCACCCAAATTGCTTTGTCAGTTTGAGCAATATCTGTAAAGTTCTGGCATATTTGAAGTCGTAAATGTTAAAAAGAAGCTACTTTAGCACTAGGTTGCTTCATAAATTCACTGTATCTTTGAAATAATGTTATATAAATTTTTTGTCATGTTTTATTGATTTAAGATCATTTGCACAAATTGCTTTGTAAGTTTGAGCAATTTCTGTGAAGTTCTGGCCGATTTGCAGTCGAAAATGTTAAAAAGAAGCTACTTTTGCACTAGGTTGCTTCATAAATTCACTGTTTCTTTGAAATCATGTTAAACAAATTTTTTGTCATGTTTTATTGATTTAAGATCATTTGCACAAATTGCTTTGTAAGTTTGAGCAATTTCTGTGAAGTTCTGGCATATTTGAAGTCGAAAATGTTAAATCGTAGCTACTTTTGCACGGGAGTGGCTCATCTGGCAGAAACGATGGATTCCATGGATTCCATGGATTCCATGGATTCCATGGATTCTATGGATTACCCGAGACTGTTGGTTTTCCATCGAAACTCACAGCTTTTTGAAACTATCGTTTCTATGGATTCTATTAAAAACCCATAGCTTCAGATTTTCCATGGAATCCATGGAATTGGGACTGTTCACTTATTACGTAACGCAAAATTTGTATGAAAAAAAATTTCCTTGTTTGAACCGTAACAAAATCTTAGACCCCCCCCCCCCCTCCCCCTAAAAGCGTTACGTAATAAGTGAATGGCCTCGAGGTGAAGTTTGAAAATGAACCTTAATTACACAATAGGAAGAGGAAAGTTTATTAAAAAATAAAAGAAAAGCAAAAAAAATAGAAATAATGAAAAATGAAAAAAATTTAAGAAAAAAAAATAGAGAAAGGTAAACCAAAAATCAAAGAGGGTGCAAAATACATTAAATAAACGTTCAATCATTACAGTCATCATTACAAAAATGATTCTTCGGCCATTATCTCTAGAAATTCTAACTCTATGATTTCACAAGAATTGAGCTTTGCGATAGCTCTGTGAAATGGCTCGGTTACCACACTCCGATCAGGCTGCGATTGTGTTCTGTTACACATAAGGGATTGATAAGAAGCACTGGAGTCGTATGCTAAACTCAAGATGACGTCCAGAAAGATGTATGGTGATGGATTCCTTGGCATTCGCGTTTTAATACTTCTGTTAAATCCTTCTAAATGATTATTGCTTCTTATCATAATGTCAGAAACCACCCACTCCTCCGGCATATATCTTTGCATCCATACATTCTCAAAATACTTTAGAAAATCGGCGAAATTCTCTTTCACATGAGCCATGGAGTCGATATGTTCCTTCAATTGCTCATATGCAAACTCTACACGATCCATAGGAACAAGACATAATCGTCTAAACATCTTTAAACACTTGCGCGTGTCAGAACATGTGATGATTCCCACCGCTAGCATACCAGGTGATTTTGCTCGCTGCAATAGAGCTTTGCTTAAGTGGAAAAAGCATCCTCTTAAATCACAAGCTGGAAAAACTTTGCCAAATGCATTTCGCATCGCCTTCTCATAGTCAGTCATGGCTAAGATTGGACGTCTTACGATACCGTCCTGACTGAATACTCCATCTTTGAGAAAAATAAAAACTTTCTCGTATAAAGCTGCCTTTTTGCTAGTCATAACAATGAAACAAATAGGACGGGGTTTGGTGCCTATCTCCGCCATGACAATTAGTAGCTGCGACGCCTTGAATGGTGCCACCGAAAAAGTGCCATCGCAAAAAATATTAAAATTCTGCGGCATACGAGAAATTAGCTCCATATTGGCGAAAACTAAAGCTGTACCATACTCATCAATTAATGATCCTTGATAAAAGTTAGTTCTTCGAATTTTTCCAAATAATTCGGTAATCTCGTCTGCTTCAAACAAGTCAACCATGTCTTTTAAGCTTTTGCAAGGCGGTAAAAGTGAATGACGAATTCTCTGTAGAGTATATCTAATATGTCTCCACTGCAAATGTCCACACACTTCAAAACTGAGTGTTTTCTGCATCTCATCATAAAATTCTTTTATCCTTTTCCGAGGATCCATTAATACAGCTCTTTTCAACCTTTCATAGGCAGAATCTAACTCGTATTTAAATTGGTGATTTTCTACATGTGAGTGTGGAAGTCCTTTCTTATAAAATTTTTCATTAACAATTATTCCTCTGGCTTTGCACCCAGTTTGAATGCAGTGGTAGTAATCTACATTTTGCGTAGCTTTGTCTAATTTGTAGATACAAAATTCATCATGCCGGTAAATGTAGGTCTTCGAGTCCAGAACAAAATCATAAGTGAGAGACATTGCAAATAACTTGCAAAAAAATCATATTAGTATATGATTCTTAATTAATCATTAATAAATTTGTCAACTTAAACTCACCATAAAATTTTTGCTAATAACTTTAATATAGGCGACTTTAAGGAAATTTTTTATGTGATGTTGCTTTATTGACTTTTCCTAAAAGAATGATAATTGCATGATTTCTATAAAAGCTTCCATGGATTCCATGGATCTCATGGATTCTATGAATTAATCTCACAGAACAATGACATAGATTAAAATTAATCCATGGAATTAATCCATGAATTCCATGAATTCCATGGAATCCATGGAAGCTTTTATAGAAATCATGCAATTTTCATTCTTTTAGGAAAAGTCAATAAAGCAACATCACATAAAAAATTTCCTTAAAGTCGCCTATATTAAAGTTATTAGTGAATTTTAGTTCATTAAGGTTTTAATTAAAAGCATCAGCAAAAGTTTTTGGTGAGTTTAAGTTGACAAATTTATTAATAAACGAATAAAAATTTCTTTAACCAATGGTCAAATAAAATTCAAATTTTCAAGGGAAAATGTGCATGAAATTTTTATGTTTACATGTATCTCAAATTTTTAAATCTGAAAAATCTCCTTAATTAGATAAGTTCATGAGTTGTTAATGATAAATATTAAAGAAAATTAATCAATTAAACTTTTTAAGGCATCTTCATAACGTTTTATGAAGAATTGGCTTCAAATCTTAAAAAAAGATTTTTTGAATTATTGTGTTTGTGTTAGTAATACAAATTTGAATTTTTTTCGAACGCCAATTGAAAATCCGATATTTTGTGTCCATCTTCACTAAATTAATAGAGTTAAATAAATTATTAAATGCATTTGGTAATTTGAATTTGAAGTTGTAAAAATTTCTCAAGTTTTCGTTAAGCATCTATACAGTTCATTATCTTGTCAAAGCTGAATGTGGCTATTTATACTGCACGAATTCCTTTATACCACAAGCTTAGTATTTATTTGAGTTAATTCAAAATAATTGTGTAACTGCATTCATATTCATCACATATGGAGGAGTTACTGACCATATAATATTCATGTCATTTAGTATTGATTGGATGAAAGAAAGTAGAGCATTAATACTGTCCTTTGTGAAATTAAGTTACTTGCTCTTTTAACTTTTTATGAAAATGGATAAGGCCCTCAAAACTGTGCGACCAAGTGTAACATTTTATAGTAAAGTGAAGAATTGTATTAAAAAGTATCGAAAGTACAACAAAGTGTATTGTGTGTGTAGTAAAGTGCTGCAAGTGTAGTATGGATGTAGTGATGCAAGTGTAGTATATACTCGTTGATACTTTGAGCGAATTTTAATTTCTGTAATATGCTTAACAAAAGTTTAGTGATTCGTCTAAAATTAAGCCTTATGTCCTGGACCTTTCGACACGTTCAAGAGGAGTTTCTCCAATTTCTATTTATACATCTTTTGCATTAGATAATTTAAGAACAATAAAAATGAGTTTATTTAATATTATCAAAATTTTATTTATCCTTCACTTTGGAATTATAATTTGATATGAAGTCTCATATAACTAATGGAGGTATATTTTTTAGATAAATCAAAAGTTTGATAAAATGAATGTCTTAATACTATTAAATTAAATGTCTTATATGTAGCTATCAATTAAAATAGTCATCATGAATATAAATGTGGATTGGACCGTTGAAGAGATTGAAGCATGCTGCGACACGGTTAATGGATACTTTAGATTCGTATCAGCAAAACAAAATCCGAATCAAAAAGAGTTGTACGCTACCTCCTTGTATAGAAAGTTGATACATCTGACAAGCCATGAAAGTACAACTTTGAAAGATTGGAAAATTCATGGATACAAAGGTTTTGGCAGTGAAGTTTTAACCATCTATGTGGGCTGTCCAGAAAAAGTTCGTTCCACATTAACTTTCAATGCTATCGAACATGCTCCACAAAAAGAGCTACGAATGAAGTGGAACAACCCATGCACAGTTTGTTTTGCTTTTAAGCCAACACCCAAAATTGTGGAAGTCAATCAGCAACCAGCAGGCTCTCAGCATCTTACTCCAAGCACTCGAGAAAACCACGAGATTGAATTTGTCTCTGAGTTACAAATTGGTAACACTCCTACAGACCCAATAGCTTATAATCATCAAGCCTCCACATCAGCTGATCCTTCATTTGGCGGTCCCTTTAATACCATGACAGACACTACAGGTAAAAAAGTTTTATACTCGAATAGAAATTAGAAGGCTTAACGTATGTTAATTTTGTCTGTTTTAGCGAATAATTATCCAGCTACTATCAAGAGTCTTTTTGATGCTGCAATAACATCAACAACAAATTTTTTAAAAGAAACGGAGGAGTTTTTCATGTGTGCCAAGATATATAGATGGGCTCATACAGAGTATACTTGACCATACTCGACCATACTATTTTTTGTGTACTTATACAAACAAAAATTTTTAAAATTTTCTATTTTCAAGTTTTCATTTAAATATCGACAGATGCAACAACATTTGACTTAAGTCAGTTACTTTAAATTATAGCAAAGCATTTGCAATACTCCTGTATCAACAAAACTTAACAGAAAGTTGAAAATTTTGCAAAACAAAAATTGAAAATTTCTTTTATAGTGTTAGTGTTTTTAGAAAATTCAAATTTTTGACGTTTAAAAACTGCGATATTTTTGTATGAGCACATCTATATATCTTGATGTGTGCTAACATGCCAATTTCTGAGGTCTACGATCAACGAGCAGAAATTGGTGCTCAACTTCATTGTGTGTTTCTTGAAGCTTTTAAAGCTAAAAAAGTTATGTTCCCTACAAATAGTGTAAACGTGAAGGCTTTAAATAGTATTTCGCTTCCTATTGAGAAGAAAATCGAGCAAGTGAAGGACGTAAAAAATGACGAAATGGAACATGTGAATGCAGATATAGTTCAAGAAGCTATTGAGGCTGAGATAGCTAATAAGAAGGCAACGGAGGCTAAGACGGCTTATGAAATAGCAGCTAAGGTTGAGAGATTGAGGATTAAGGAGATCATGGATGCAGCTATAGTCCAAGAAGACATTAAGGAACGTGAAGATGGTGATTCAGATTTTAAGGTAGACGGTGGTTTAGGCACTAAGAAAGACGGAATGGATGAGTCGACAGACAAAGAAGTCAAGGAAATCGAGAAAGGGATAGAAGCTGATATCAAGAAGACACCAATTATGCCGCCACCTCCCCTATTAAGATCTACAACTCGAAGGTTGAAACGAGCCGAAGCAGTAGCAATATTGGCTGCTTCGAATTCAAGTGGTAACGAAATTACTGTTACTCCAAAGCGTGGTTCAAAGCGTATTAAATTAACGCCTAAAGCGCTCGAGAAGATTATGTTACAGAATCAAAATATTAATAAGAAATGATATTCTTCTTTGATTTTTGGTTTACCTTTCTCTATTTTTTTTCTTAAATTTTTTTCATTTTTCATTATTTCTATTTTTTTTGCTTTTCTTTTATTTTTTAATAAACTTTCCTCTTCCTATTGTGTAATTAAGGTTCATTTTCAAACTTCACCTCGAGGCCATTCACTTATTACGTAACGCTTTTAGGGGGAGGGGGGTCTAAGATTTTGTTACGGTTCAAACAAGGAAATTTTTTTTTCATACAAATTTTGTTACGAGGGGGGGGGGGGGGGGGGGGTCTAAGAAGTCATTTTTTTCGCGTTACGTAATAAGTGAACAGTCCCAATTCTAATGCAATAGTTATACAAACAAATATAAGCAGTGAAGCTAAATTTTCCATGGATTCCATGGAAAATCTGAAGCTATGGGTTTTTAATAGAATCCATAGAAACGATAGTTTCAAAAAGCTGTGAGTTTCGATGGAAAACCAACAGTTTCGGGTAATCCATAGAATCCATGGAATCCATGGAATCCATGGAATCCATCGTTTCTGCCAGATGAGCTAGATTCCTTTTGCACTAGGTTGCTTCATAAATTCACTGTTTCTTTGAAATCATGTTAAACAAATTTTTTGTCATGTTTTATTGATTCACACAAATTGCTTTGTAAGTTTGAGCAATTTTTGTGAAGTTCTGGCATATTTGAAGTCGAAAATGTTAAATAGTAGCTACTTTTGCACTAGGTTGCTTCATAAATTCACTGTATCTTTGAAATAATGTTATATAAATTTTTTGTCATGTTTTATTGATTTAAGATCATTTGCACCAATTGCTTTGTCAGTTTGAGCAATTTCTGTAAAGTTCTGGCAGATTTGTAGTCGAAAATGTTAAATAGTAGCTACTTTTGCACTAGGTTGCTTCATAAATTCGCTGTATCTTTGAAACCATGTTTCACAAATTTTTTGTCATGTTTTATTGATTCACACAAATTGCTTTGTAAGTTTGAGCAATTTCTGTAAAGTTCTGGCATATTTGAAGTCGAAAATGTTAAATAGTAGCTACTTTTGCACTAGGTTGCTTCATAAATTCACTGTATCTTTGAAATAATGTTATATAAATTTTTTGTCATGTTTTATTGATTTAAGATCATTTTGCACCAATTGCTTTGTCAGTTTGAGCAATTTCTGTAAAGTTCTGGCAGATTTGTAGTCGAAAATGTTAAATAGTAGCTACTTTAGCACTAGGTTGCTTCATAAATTCGCTGTATCTTTGAAATCATGTTAAACAAATTTTTTGTCATGTTTTATTGATTCACACAAATTGCTTTGTCAGTTTGAGCAATTTCTGTGAAGTTCTGGCATATTTAAAGTCGAAAATGTTAAATCGAAGCTACTTTTGCACTAGGTTGCTTCATAAATTCAC